TCCGGACTTCAACTCCCAGAATTCCCCAGCCAGCATGTCCGGACATCTTCAAGTTGCCAAGGTTGAGAAACACTGGGTTAGGACAGGAAAGACAAGAGTTCATATTCTTTCTATCTTGTGAAGTTCCACAGCTTTCCTAACCTTCATGACTACTGGATGCTGTGATAGCTAAATCACACCACAGTTATCAACAGCCAACTTTACTCCAAAATATGATTTGAAACCATTTTTAATAATACTTACTGATCTGAGAATTGGAGCTAGCTATAATTATGAAAAGAAGGTAAAGAGTGAACTAAGAAAAGCAGAACCTATATTAATACCCATCTCTCCAGTAATGGTTTTCTCTTATATTCGCTACCGGTTCAGAACCGGGAGCGCTACGTGTAACGCTTCTGCGCATGTGCAGAACCCTCTGTGCATACGCAGAACCTTCTGCACATGTGCAGAGTGTCTGTCATGACGTCTGGGCAGGTGGGCGTAGCCTCCCGCCACCGCCACTACCAGTTCTGAACCGGGGCGAACTGGCAGAATACCCCCTCTGCATCTCTCCAAAAGGAAAAAGAAAAAGAAAGATAAAACGAACACTGGTATGAGGGACCAGATGACCCTGAACTGGGCAACACTCTGTATACTTAAATCATAATGTCTTTTCATCTGAATTTCTCTCAATCGGTTGTGGTCAAATATAAAACATGATAATTCAAAGGTCTTTTAATAGCAAGGATAGAGGTATTTGTAAGATGCACAATAATGATACAAAACTTTCAAAACCAATTATAACAACAATTAAAAATCAAGAGGGGATGTAATTTGGTAATAATGGAGAAGTTACAGTGTTAAACTAGAACCTGGAAAATCCATATTCAAATAAAAGTCTGTAGAGATTCCCAGTCATCCAGGTCATGGTTGTGCCAAAGGTGCTTTTTCAAGAATTAACTGGACTTTCTTGTTTTTTCTTTTGAAGACATTTCGCTTCTCATCCAAGAAGCTTCTTCAGGTCTGACAGGATAGTGGGGAATGGAAGGATTTATATTCCTTGCAGNCCCGGAGTCCTTCGGGAGTGGGCAGCATACAAGACAAATAAATACAATACAATACAATATAAAGTAATTATCTTTAAAGAGATACTGTATATCTATGAAAAATAGATGGAAATTACATGTCTTCCAAATTAAGATTTCAGAAACATTACCAAGTATCTAGTAAGTTCTAGATCAAATGGAAGCTGATGGAACTTTTGAGACAATGATCAGCAAGCAAAAAAATCATATAATTTGTGTATGTACCTGAGCATAAGATGAACTAGAAAAAAATATTATTCCTGGAAATGTTGATATAGAAAAATGGAAAGCTTATAAATAAGATGAATAAATGAGATTAAAATGATTATTGGAATGTCCTTTGAAGAACTGTGTCACTGTTGGGGACAGATCAAGATGGCAGTTGCAGTTGTCAAAGACCAAACTCAACAGCACTTATCAAATAAGCCAGGTTTAATAATATTGTAGGAAAAGAACCATATTAGTCTGTATTGGCAAAAAAACAGGAGTCTCATAGTATCTTTTCCAACTAACAAGTTATATGAAAGAGCATAAACTTTTGTGAACTGCTGCTCATTCCATCAGATACCTAGAGTGAGTAGAGCAGTGTAGGATTTAAATTATGGTGAGTTGGAGGGAAATATGAGAAGGAAAGGTGGGGAAGGGGAAGTACAGAAAATAATTGGTTATGCAGATGTATATTATATATGAGAAAGATTACAAGTATCATATAAATTAACAATTGTAACATGTTGATTATATTATCACTGGAAGGATCATTAACTATGCTGATCTTTTTTGTCATGAAATATCCCAAGATTTTCGTAGCCCTTTTACCATTGGATTAATTTCCTCTTTGTTTTCCTAGCCCATTTATTTTATGCAAATAATGTAATATGCAAGAAAACAAAATTATCTATCATTAAATTGCTTTCCAACAGTGTTTTATTCATTATTCCTCAGAAGAATAATCAGATATTCTGGCATATCCATTAGCTTTAATATACAGTATTTCTCATTCTACATTTACAAGCTTTGTCAGTGAAACAAAATGAAATCTTTTAATATTCTTGCTCTATTATTCATCTCTGTAAGCTATTTAATCTCAAATCCTTCTGCTTCTCTGCATTTATGGATCAATTCATTTTTGGAATTGTTGAAGAAAACTGGATACATAAAGAATTTGTTCAATAATCTACACATGTGGTTACATTTCCTTTATTTGGGATAGGTATTTTTCCAACCTTAAGACATTAAGTTTTTTTCATATTTGTAACATAGTACTGTTAGCACTTTAACTTCTTTCTACAGTTTACAACAGGTGAAGTAGGCATTTCACTTGCACCTAATGCTTTCAGCTTGAATGTATTGTTTCTAATACAGCTCAAGATTAGTAGAAACACACAGAACATAGCTTTCCTGATCAATTTTGAATTTAGACAGAAGTTAAATAATATAGCCCTAGTGCAGATCAGTAGAGGTCACAAAAATAAAAAAAATTCTTATTATTCACAATCAAAGTCTATTTCCTAGCCTTTTTCACCTTTTAAGTATGTATTTTCGAAATGTCCAGTTGACTTATGCTTTGAAAAGAAGGTAAAACTTGGCAAGAATATAAAACTATACCTTCTATCTGTAGGATACAACTCCACAGTAATGACATCAAGAGAGTTCCATGCTGAGATGGTAAGGCCATTGTATAGACACAGCATGCCTATCATCATGGCTCCACTTGTACCAAACCATAGGAAAAAGCAGCTAATTCCAGAAAGAATCATAGAACCACCTGCGTGAAAACCAAATGTTAATAGTTACTATTGCCTCTGGCAAAGGCTTTACAAAACAATTATTATAATATTGTCAACATGAGTGGTAACTTAAGCAAAGTTATAGCAAGCAAAGAACCTGTAAGGATCAAAGACTTTGTAGTAGCATTGGATGTCAGAATAATACGTTAAGGGTCATGTCCTTAAGGCTTTCCACTATTCAGGAAGAAAGGACAGCTTAAAATGGAATTAAGAAGATTGAAAGTCCATACAAGAACTCAATTGGATTTGGAATTTTCAAGGTGGCAAGTTCCCTACTGTCAAAATTTCTTTAAAAGACTGAAAAAACTTGCTACTGGCTAGTAATTCTCTGTGTTAAGATTTCTGATCTTGAACTATGAGAAGCTTATGCTTTCTTATAATCTGTTTGAAAACCTCGATTCAAAAATGTTCTGCTCCAAGGGCCAGCACTGAGACAAAAACAAGCTTCCTTCGGCACACAATATCACAGGATAAAATGATAAAACATACAATTTCAGCTGTCATGATCTCTCAAGTTGGGGGTGGGAGGAATTTATAGCAGGAGTTTGTGAGTTTGATAAGCAAAATGATTTTCTTTTCTTGCTTTTTATCACAGAAAAGCCTGAAACATTTTGTTAAACGGGAGTCAAATTTTGGGGTATTTTCTTTTCTCTCTCTCTTTTTATAGGCAATTCAGCTAAGAGGCTATCGTTTTGGGAGAAAATAGGATTAGGGAGGTTTAAGGCTGAAAGGCTGCATTAAGCCTCTCACAAATTCATTATTCCTTAAAATAAAGGATCGCTGCACCATCTACTATCTGATAGTGCACTGAAAACTAGCTGGTGGGCAAAACAACTCTCGGTATATAGATCCCTCACCCTGTGCTTGATTATTTGTAAATCCTTAAGTGAAAAGGAGAAGAATGTTTAATTTTTTTAAAAAAAAAATCAATCAATTTCAAAGCGAAGTTCCTACCCAACATTGTTAAACGTCCAATTCGATCCATCAGAAGAGCTGAGACAATATTTCCTGGTAATACTGCTAAAGTCCCCAGAAAATTGACAAAATAAATCCAGTAGGCACTGTAATCATCATCGAATGAAATTTGGCACCCTGTCTTATTGTGAAAGAACGTACAATTCACAAATTCACTGCCAGGGTATTTATATGGCTCAAGATCTGTGGAAATAGAAGAAATTTGTGAAAGTTGTAATATATTTCAAACACAGGTTCTTTTACATATTGCCTAAAAGGCCAACATTAATATTTAGTATAATAGTCCAGCATATTAATATTGTGGTATGTTAATGTTTTAATGATGTTTTTTTTTCAGTTTTATATTGTTGTGTTCACTAACTTAGATATGCCTATTTCTCAGCAGGACATCAATATCTTTTACTAAAATTATGTGTGTTTATTTTTTAATATGTTTTTATTGTCATCAGGTGGAAAGATGAATAAATAAATGTTTTATAAATAAGGTAGCATGTCTGTTAAGTCAAATATAGTTTTTTTTAAAAAAGGTTTATTAATCACTTAAAAAACAAAAACAAAGACCAAACAAACAAGAAAAAAACAAAAACAAAGAAAAAATAATTGGTACAAAAACATAATGTCAGAAGTGCACAAAGGAGTGACAAATTTTAGGGTTAGTGCCCAGTGTATCATTGATTAGAAAAATCATTAAATTACATTAAATTGTTTTAAGAATGAAAGTAAGAATTCGCCAAAATCTCCACTATTTATAATTTTAAAATACCAAAAGAGGGGGATGGGACGGACGGAAATATGTGACTGTTACACAATTCTAGGCAGGGTGAGGACGGCTTGAGAAGCCTGGTGCAGATTGCACAAAAATTGAGGGAGGTCAGTGGAAGGTTTTGGAGGCCCAGTTCAGGCTGTACATAAGTTGGGGAGGGCGACAAGGGAGGGGTAGCAGAGTTAATACATGGCGGAGGATGCTGCTGGCAGGAATCACTTTCCAGAGTGACTTCCGACCTTCCTTGTTGGTTTCGCTATTCAATGCCCTTCTGGGAAGCCAGCAGAAAATATCACAAATGGCAATCATGTGATTATGGCTCCCAGTTTGCAAACATTAAGTGCTGTAGCTGGAATTTCAGGGACCATTTTTTCAGCAATGCTGTAACTGAATGCGGGCTGAATGCAAGAAGCTAAGGGCTACCTGTATTCTCCTTGTAACTCTATTATAATTATTAATCAGAAATGTTAGTTGAAGGCCAAAATGACATGATATGCAGCTATTAAGGTATTTTAATTTAAAATGGGAAAAAACCTTCTCTCCCCCAAGGACAGATGTAGTTCTTGGCAGTGGTATTAGCCTTAATCAAAACACCTAAGAAAAATGAATAAACCTGGATGATAAAACACTCTTAGTTCTTTCCCAAAGTGATGTTAAGCACAGTATGTTCTCCCCAATCCTCCACCCCCTGCACCTCCAAGGTACATGTAGAAGTTGACTTCATTTTGCCTTTGGAATCCTGAAGGTCCCTCTCTGTGGCTGCCTAAAAAAATTTAAACGTTAGTTGGCCCAGTTCAACTTTCTCATATTCCAATAGAAAGTCTCAGTTACATTCCAATCACCCTTGGCAGAAAGACATTCATGCCAAAAAGATGAAGAAATTATCCATGGGGCCAAATATTCCCGCTCTTTCTTCTTCAAAGTGATTTTTTTAAAAAGTTAGTTACTTCTGACATTGTCAAATAATTAAGCTCAGCCAGAAATTCAGCACTTGACATCCCTACAGCTGGTTAAAAAAAAAGTTTAAAAAGTATTCTGCTTAACTTCTCTTCTCCATTGAAATAACTACCAAACAGTTGAAGGATTTGGGGAACAAAAGAGTGTGGTATTTCCCCTCCCCCAACATACCTGAATTGAAGAAAAAAGTCTCTATAAAAGTGCAGTTTCTAAAATATGTATTCAACGTAGTGACATCCTCAAAGTAACAGTGCTTAAAAAGGGAGTCTTGAAAAGTAACTGCTTTGAATGTCATCATTGTGAACCTGAGAAAAACAAAGAATTTACTGTACTGATTTAAAGCATGATGGAAGACGTCTAACTGGAAGCATTTTTCAAATGATTGAATAAGAGTATGGCTAAATACAAACATCTTCTGAAGGTTCAATCTTTTGCAGTAATATGTTCAAATTCCCCATGCTCAAACTCGGAAGGGTTAGGACAGTGTTTCTCAACCTTGGCAACTTGAAGATGTCCGGACTTCAACTCCCAGAATTCCCCAGCCAGCATGTCCGGACATCTTCAAGTTGCCAAGGTTGAGAAACACTGGGTTAGGACAGGAAAGACAAGAGTTC